CAACATTCCTACCTTCCCAACAGTGTCATAACTAATGTAACAGTTTGGACAATACCATAACTTCATTCCACCAAAGTTACACAATAGCCTATGCCAATCTACACAAAGCTTTTCATTCTTTAGTTAACTGGCATTCCCTGCTTGAAGAGAAAGCAACCAAGAATGAATCCAAGCTCCACAGTTTCAATGGGCAAATCTCCATTGGCCCATACTTCTTCCACTGGTGGTTAGATTCACATTTTAAGGATGCATTGAGTTTTCCACTTAAAATGTTTTTATTCCTTTTAGAAAGCAACATAACAGTAATTAGTGACAAACCCATCCATGGAGGAGCCCTAGAGCCCTGAGTTTCTCCCCACTATATTGCCACTTGCCCCAAGGAACAGACTGTGATTGCCCCAGTGCAACTCCTTACTCCAGCAAGCTTCAGCACCTCTACCCTTATACAGGACCCTACAGCTGCAGCAAGGGGATTTTCACCAGCCCTAGCTGGCCACCTAGGCTTTAAAAAAAAAGTTAGGACCCTTTACTGCAGGGGTGGGTAATTATTTTGGGTGGAGGGCTGCTTACTGAGTTTTGGCAAGCCATTGAGGGCTGCATGACAGGCAACCCAGGGCAGATAAATATTAATTTTCTAAATGTTTTAGGGGCCACGCGGGCCAGACAGAATGACCTGGTGGGCTACATCCAGCCCACATGCTGCATTTTGCCCACCCCTGCTTTACTGCAAAAGGGGTTAGGCCTGGAATATCACTTGCCCAGAAACCACTTGCTCTGCTGACAATCAGCAAGAAGATAAACTATACAAGCAGGTTTGAAGGCAGAAAAACAAGTGCTCCCTTATCTGGCTACATCCTAGCCTTCCTGAAAGCCCTGCAAGTATTTCCTGCCATCAGCCTTCCTGTTGGTTCTGCCAGCCCTGGCTGCTAGGACCACTGAACCTCCAAAATCTGGGATTCAAAGACCTTGATTCCATCCTAGCTAGACTTTAAAAAGCCCCCCACCCACCCTCACCCTCTCTATGAACATTACTCTATGAGGCCTTTGCAATAGAGGAATTGATTTCCCCTTTACAGGCAGACAGTGCTTGCAATACATTTAGCACATATGAGTATCTCACTTAATTATCTTTCAGTTACATCATGTAATTACAAAAGTACATTTATATCAAGTATTGTAACACATGCAGATATGACAATGAAAAACTGAGCTCAGCTTCAAAGTAACTACAACTAGAGACTATACTTCTATGGTGTTTATCTAATGTGTAGAGAATATCCACATATACCACATAGTGAACCCCAAAAGCAACTCAGTTTGGAGGTATACTCATGGCACAATTATCTGAAAAAATATGGATTCTTTCAAGGAGAACGATAAGTATATTTTACACATATAGTTAGACAAATATTTTATCTTGGCAAAATTCTAACAAATATATAACACCCTTTCCTAAAACTTTCCCAGTGAGTTTGTTACTGAAGTCTGAAAATATAATGCACTCTCAAGAGTTGCAACACTCTGGCTGGCCTGGGACTACACTGCATGCAGTACACACTCCAGGACTCATGCTGTAGAGAGCTCCTGCCACACCCTGGCTTGAGTGGGGCACCACATGAGGCTCAACTCCCACTTGGCCAGAGCAGTGGGTGTTGGATCTGGCATGTAGGGTCCAGAACAGGTCCCACAGGTCCATATGGCATGGCTCTGTGGGCCAGATCTTTGACATCCTTGTTCGAAAGCATGGATAGTCAGCATCCTACACTTTTTTGAGAAACCACCATCTAATACAACATAAAAGTACATTATGGAAGGTAAGGAGGTCTTCTAACACCTAGCGACTCAAGATTGTTTAGCTCAAAAGATTCTAGGTGTTAATCAAGGACACTCAGAATTACAGAATCATGGAAAATCAGGGTTGGAAGGGACCTCTAGGAGGTCATTCAACCATCCCCAACTACATCATCCCAGCCAAGGCTTTACCTAAGCAGGTGTTAAAATACGCTAACAATGGAGGTTCCACAACCTCTCTACGTAGCCCGTTCCAGTGCTTCGGTACCCTCCTAGTGAGAAAGATTTTCCTGATATCTAACCCAAACTTCCCTTGCTACATCTTGAGCCCATTGCTCCTTGTTCTATTATCTTTCACCACTGAGAACAGTCTAGCTTTATCCTCTTTGTAACCACTCTTCAGGTAGTTGAAAGTTGCAATTAAATCTCCCCCCAGTTATCTCTTCTCCAGACTAAATAAGCCCAGACCACTTGGTGGGGACCTCCAGGAAACTGCCTCTAAATTTCAGAGTAGTAGTGCTCAGTGTAAGGTTTAGCTTACAAGGAAGAACTTGATTAAATAAATGCATTTTATAAAACAGATTCCACAGAGAGACATCAAACTTGAAAAAGCAACTTAAAAATGTCACAGAAACATATAGATGATAATTAAATTACAATACTGTTACACTGAAAAGTTATTCAGAGAAGCTACAGAACTTTTCCAACATTTTGCTGATATAGTTAACCCTGGAAGAAGAGGCTAGGAAGTGACCAACAGAATGTAGCTTAAATCCATGTTCTTCTGTTAAAGATACAGATTTCCACCAAAACACTAAATCTGCCAATATTACAGCTCATGCATTAAAATGGTGGGGGAGAAAAATGAAGACAAATGGTGAATACATAATTCTCTCAGTTTTTAGGATCTGCACTTCTGTCCAACCAACTTAGCAACAATAAAGCATATTTTGAAACACATTCTTATTGGTTTGGTTGACATACCATAAAAAACTAGTTATTTAGAAAGTAATTGGATACTAATATAGAATTACGAATTTAAAGATAGTTATGAGAATGGCAGGCCAAAGACTTGATTAAAAACGCATGGACTTGTTATTTACAGAATTGTAGGTTCCTCATTTTGGACAATGTATGCCTATTTTCTGAATAATAAATAGGCATAAGTATTGCTTTCATGTGTAATTTTTTTTTTTATAAAACCACTATAGTCACTTGGGACTAGACATGGAACATGGAAGGAAAAAAGACAAAATAAAAAAAGAAAGTAATTTTTCCATATTTTTCAAATCAGAAAAAAAATCACAACATCTCCAGCTGAAAGCTTCTTCCTGTGCATCTCACATTTTAAGACAAAGAACTGGAGAAAGACACTCCAACTTTCTATGGAGGAAGATAAAAGAAAGTATGGGGGGCTAATATCTAATAGGGAAATAAGAACAAAAAGATGATGCAGGGAAAATTGAACTATTCAAATCAGCCAAAATAGTTTGACATGATCCTTTGACACACCCAATTTCCATCTTTGACAGGGGAACAGACTTAGTAGATAATGGCGACAAAGTAGAGTATAGTAATGCTTTTGACACAACCCCCCAGGGCAACCTCAAAAACTAAGGAAAAGTGTTCTAGATGTAGTCATAACAGGCTGGTGTAAAACCAGCTGAGAACTTCTCAAAGAGCAGAGGAGTCTCCAATGGTTAACTGGGAGGATATTCTAGGGGAGGAGAGGATTCTAGAAGGATCTCAGTAAGTCTTGGACCCAGACTTACTAAATTCTTTTGTTAATGACTTGGATAACAAAACTGAGGAACTCATTAAGGAACTTCTGTGAAAACAAGTCCTTAAAGAATGCAGCAAGTTCAAACAAAACTCAGGAAGAGACCAAATGGAGGAGGTATCTGCTTTGTAAAACAGATATATAATCCCATGTTGTAGCTGTATGAAGCCTGACAAAGGAAGACTTATCCCTCCCTAAAAAGCAGTATGATCCTATGACCATAGGAAAGTATGAGCTCACCTAGTCCAGCCCTCTGCTTAAGGCAGGATCATCCCTAACCATCCCAGCCAAATGCGTCTAACCTGCTCTTGAAATTCTCCAGCAACGGAGATTCCACAATTTTTCTAAGTAGCCTGTTCCAACACTTGATCACCATCATAGTTGGAGCATTATTCTAATCTCCAAACTAAATTTCCTCTACTGCAGTTTTAGGCCATTTTTTTCCATGTAGAATGATAGATTGAAGTGGTCACAGAGAGGGGACTGATTTCAGAAGTCTTTTGGATTCTTCTTTTAATACATTTTCCAACTAAGAATGCCTCATCTAGCTTAGTTTAAGAGAAGTCCAAAAGCAGATGTTAAACCATCTATTTCCAAAATCCATTTTCTATTTGTTAAAGAGAGTCATATTTGTTAAGAACGTTTCAGTAATTTCACATAAATGCCCCAAAGAAAAGAGAACAGGGGTGCTGAACCAGTGGATATGCATACAGATACCTTTTTCCCCCCAATGACTTGGGTTGTCTTCAGGGTGCTATGAAGAGCACCCAAAGAGAAGACATGAGATACAAATGGTGAAGATCATGAGAATAGGATTTAATACCATTTACAAGATGAAAATGTTAAATTTCGAGACAGTAACATTGTTGTTTGAAAACAAAAAATCAGCAGCCTCAACGGTCTCTCCTTATTAGTGCTAGGTGTGTTTTGCAAATGGTTAACTCTTGTTATTAGTGTTGGGTGTATTTTGCTGATGGTCACCTAATGCAGTCACAGAAATCTTGTTGCCTTTTATACCCCTTGCTAATTAAAACTCATTTTGTATCTCAACCTTCCTAATTTTATCCCTCTAAGACTGCTGATCTTTGGTACTCATCCCTACATATCTCTTTCCACCTGTTCTGATCTTTTTGTTTTCCCAGTTCTATAAAGAGCTCCCAGTGCAACCACTAAGTCTCTTCCTGTTCTTCCTTTTCAGTGCCTTTCAGTAACCAATACCTCTCCAGTGCTCAACTCCCCTCTTCTTCCCAAATACTGCCTGCCTTCATTATATCTGTTTGAAAGTGCTATGGTTAGGATGGTTCAATTGTCTAGTGTGGAGTGTGTTATATGGGCATAAAGGTTTAGCAGAGGAGGTTAACCTTTTTGGCAGGCATGCCACAAATTAAGCCTTGCACTCTTTGAGTGCCACTCCAGTTCTCTTCCCTACCCTGTCTGCTGCTTTGCTTTCTGCACCCTGCCCTGTTGTCATCAGCAATCCCTTGACTCAAGGATGATCTGTATCATGCCTCTTTGATGAGTCTTGAAGTGAAGTAAGAGTCCAGTCCTCAAGTCACAGATTCGGCTGCAGAAGTTGCACTTTTCCATGGGGGAGAGTAAGCCATAGGCTGGGATTTCTCTCCTTTTCCTTTCCCTGCTCTCTCTTCTCTGCTTCAAAGGCAAGACGCTTTACCTCAAAGTGGGCTGCCACCTGGTTGAGGCTGCAGCACCACTGGAGTTCTCCATGTCAGCATTTATGTTCTTCAGGTATGTATTCAAGCATCCTTGTAGCATTTCCTCTGACCACCACAAGATCTCAAGCCACAGCTAAGCTGGGAATAGAGCACTTGCTTTAGGAGTCAAGAGACAAGCATCTGCACACAATGCCCAATCCAGGGAATTTAGTGCTTGAGTATCACCGACTCAATGGTAATTCTGGCTGCAGAGCAAGGATGCTAGCATCTGTGCGCCGATCTTCCCATTTCATTTCATACAGAGGATTTTCCAGAGGTATTGTTGGCAGTACCTGGCCAGGCTCTTGAGATGATGAGGGTAGGTCATCTAAAGCCCTGTCACCCATGTTTCACATCCATAGAGGAGAGTGGCCATGATGAATGCATTGTAAATCTGGATCTTGGCATCTTTCGAGAGATGACAATCAAAAACGGTATGCCAAAGCCATTCCCCAAAGGAGTCACTTGCGCATCAGATCCTGTGCTGGATCTCCTCATTAACAGTCACTCTCTGGGAGAGGCAGCTCCTGAGGTAGAAGTGCTTGATTACCTCCTGGGTCTCTCTCTTAACAGTAATATGGGGTGGGGGGAGGGACAGGGAAGCTCACATTCCTGGCCTAGAGCAGGCTGATAGAGCATTTCAGTCTTCTCTCTGTTGAAAGTTCAACAGACTTCAGCAAAGAGATCCAGCCCAGGCTGGAGGTTAGGACAGCACAGGCACCAGTGTATCAAAGGATTCAAAGAATTCAGTCTTGGAGCAAAACACACCCTGGGCTGAACACAGAGTGGAAAGGGAGCTTCACAGTGCCAATCATAGAAGGGAGGCAGTCCCCCATGACAGCCAGGAGGACAGTCCAAAAAAACCCAGAGAACCATGCTGGGGCAACGAGGTGGCATCACTTGGTTTGGACAACAAAAGGATCCGCTCACAGGACCAGCGGCCAATGCCCTGTCGTGAAGCAGCCTCAGGAACTTGCTCGAGTCTTTAGGGTTTGTGAGCCTGGCCGATCTGCTGCTCTGCTTTCTGCTCCCCGCCCCCACTCCCACCCGGCCCTGCTCAGGCTAGAACCAGGGCAGAAGGAGCCAAGCCAGCCCCAGCCCTCGCTGAGGCCGCTCAACCTCGCCCTCCTTTCCCGCCCCACAGCGCGCTGCCCCGGGCCAAAGGGGGGCGCATGCGCCAGTCGGGCTGAGGAGGAACCGACTCCTTCGGGAGCCGGGGGAAGGGCCAGCCCCACGGTACGGGAGACGGGAAAGGACACGCCAGACGCACCGAGCAGCCGCCACCAGCCTCCCCGCGCGTCCGCTCACGCCCCATGCAGTTGCCTCCTCTTGCAGTCTCGGCAATGACGCCACGACCAGGCGCGTCCTTACGAGAGGAACGGGGCACTAAACCCTTGGAGCGCTTTTCTCTGCCGTCGCTCGCTGATGACGCCACGCCCAGGCGCGTCCATCAGCAACCGCGACGCGGCCTCATCTCCCTAAGCCCCTCCCCCTTCCCAAGGCGTCGCTCTTTCCTGCACCTCCTCTATGGTGAGCAGCCCTTCCTTCCCACTCCCTGCCCCCTTTCTTTCCTTCTCTATGGTGAGTGGGGGCGGCGGCCATTTTGGCCGGGTGGCAGCGCGAGCACGTTGCGCGCGTGTCTGCTGCCGAGGAACGGGGCGAGGCCACTCCCGTCCCCGCGCCCGGCTCGCAGCTTCCCGCCCTCCCTCCCGGTAAGTGCGGACAGCGGAGGGAGGGCACGAGCCCGGGGCAGGGAGCGGCGCCGCGACAGTGACAGGGGGGTTAGGCTTGGGTCCCCCCTGCCAATCACTGCCCTGGGGCGCGCTGACGCAACCATCGCATTGGAGGGGCGCTCCCCCCTTCCCCTGCCTGACACCTGCCGGATCTCCGGGGGGCGGCGGGAAGCCGCGGGGTGGACCTCGGGCTTAAGGAAGGGGGCGCGGAGGGCGAGGGGTGTCCTCATCGGCGCCTGACCCGGCCCCTGGTTTTCTCCGGTGAAAAAAAGAACCCACCGGTTCTGCCGTTTTATAGTTGTGACAGCAAATCGATGCGTGGCGGCCCTGCACAGCCGGGGCTCGGGGCAGCCTACAGCCGGATAGCAGAGTAACCTGCAGAGCAGAAGAGCAGATCGGTTTCGTAGGAATGACTTCACCCAATGATATTCCTATAGACCTTTTTATTTTTGAAAAGGAAAAGGATGCGTGTCTTTTTTCTTTTTCTTCATTATTAGGATTTTTTAGCAGGGAGAGGTCAGCATTCCTCCACCTGCCTCTTTGGCTTGATGCAAGAGGTACTTGCTTTTGGGAAAAGGCAGCTTTTTCCCCCTAATAATTTTGCTTTGTTCCAGTTGGTAAATGATTGACTTGGACTTCCAGTTCCAGGTGAGGTAAAGAAAAAACTTAATTACAAGCCCAGTGCCGAGGGTCTGGAATAGGCTCCCCCCAGAGGTGGTACGGGTTGCCCACCGTGGCAATCTTCAAAAAGCATCTTGACACCACCCATCTTGCTGGGGTCACTTCACCCCAGCAATCTTTCCTGCCCAGGTGCAGTGGGGCTGGACCTGATGATCTGTAAGGTCCCTTCCAGCCCCTAACATCTATGGAACTACAAGTCTGAAATTGTTGGGGGTGGTCCTGCTGTGAGCAGGAGGTTGGGCTTGACCTCCTGAGGTCCCTTCCATCCCTCATTTTGTATGATTCCTGCTAGCCTGGGGCTGTGGCTCCTCAGTGTAAGAGCAAAGCAAAAAGAAACAGAACACCATTGGGATGAGTTAAAAACAGGCTGTGAAATAGGAGCTTTGTGCCCAGGAGCAGCAAACAGGCAGCAGAACTAGCAGAAGAAAGGAGAGCTTGAGAGGTGGGACGCCAAGATCTTTGAAAAGGAGATGGTTGCTAACACCTGCAGGGTAAAGAGTTTAGAAGGGATCAGGTAGATGATAATGAGCCACGAAGTCAAGTGACTCCCTGGGCGCTGCCCGACTAGAAATGCCATTGCCTCTGCCAGGCAGTTGGTTTTAAACTTTGGGTGGAGCAGTAATTAAAAGGGGGGTGCAAGTGCACACAGTTGCCTGTGTATGATTGTCAGTAGGATCCTGCACATCCAGCTGTGGAGCGGCCCCAGCCCTGCTGTGGTTCAGTGATCTAGCACGCAGGGCTATGTCTGTCACCGTGGAGGGTTTGGGCATCTAGTAGCAGGGGGAGCAGCAATTAATACTGCCACTACTCCCCGGCTGCCAAATTTCCAAGCCCATGGTGATACCCTTAGAGCAGGTGACACGGTTCCACAGAGGAGATCTGGTCCATGGGCCAGAGGTCAAACCCCAGTTTTAAAGTTGAGACAACTGCATGCATCAGTCTCCTGTCAGTGAAGAGGCAGAGAGAGGAAAAATCTTTTAAATGGGTAAAGCCTTGCCAAGGGAAATGATGGGTTTTTAATTCCTCTCCCTAATGTGATGAGAATCACAAAGTAAAATGTAACCAGGGAAGGCATTTGTGTGTGCACTAGCAAGGCGTGTGAAACACTTCCCTAATTTGCGAAAAGTGGGGGGGTTTTGGTGTTATCTTTTATTGGACCAACTCTATAGGACGGGTCAAATAATGTGAAAACTATCAAATGACCTCTCTTTTTCCTAGGATTTTGCCTTTTAATAATTCAGCATGTGTTAGCTAACATGATTTTTCCCCCTAGGAGAAGACAAGGCCTCTTGCAACAAGCAGAGGGTTGGGCTTCAAATTCTAAAAGATTCTTGCTAGGCAGAGGCTGGCATGGAAAATGGACACGCCACCAAGCACCCTGTGGGAGCATCACCTTGAATAGGGCACAGCACAGCAACATTTTTATCAGTGAGGGAAATGGGCTCTAGTATTTGTGAGTGATTCATCTTTGGCAATAAATGTAATCCTCTGACATGTAAGCAAGATATTTTTCCAAGTCCCAGTTGTATATGTACTATCCTTGTTCTTCAGGCTCTTAGTCAAGAGGAGTTGACTTCTCCCTGCTCCATGCACTTGTTTTCAGTAGTTTTAATGTGTATCTTCCCTTCCCCATTACCCATTCTAAGGAAGTATTCAGGGTTAAGTGTATATTATATGGCTTCATGAATGGACATTAATATAGTTGCCTGCAAATTAAATGCACACTTGCACAGTCCTGTTTCAATACATTATTTTGCAATATGCTGCTTTCCAATAGCCAGAGATGTTTGTTCACCCTTTACCATTTTCTGTTATATGTATAGAATAGGTGAGTAGTTTCTTGCAATTAAACCCACTAATGCAACTTTGGATTTGCCTAAATACAGTTTTTTAGAACACACAGCTGTAGCTATATCAGTTTCTAAACAGATATAGTTAAAAGAGTACAAAAACTCTACAGAGCAATCATTAGTTTGTGTTTGTTCCATACTTAACTTTTAGCATGTAACAGTTCTTCTAGTCCAGCGTGTATGAACATGGAGATCTCCTTCTTCAAAAATTAACCACTTATGCTGTTCTTTTTAGTTTATAAATTATTTTGTATGGGATTGTGCTTTGAAAAATGGTCTCTCTGGCCTCGTATGGATATAGGGTTAATGAGTTTTGTTGATACATTTAATAATTGAGGCATGTTTCTTGAAGATTACTAATTTCCTCCTTTTAAAGACTGAAATATATTTAGAATCTTTTTACATTTTGCAGTTGATGGTATTGAATAGAGATGCACCGATACATTGGTCCATATTGTATCAGCACCGATAAAAGGAAAATTGACATTATCAGCAATTGGCTTTTCTTGGCTGATGAGGCCAATAATGTCACTGATAAATGCCGCGTGCATGCACGCAGCTGCAGTGTACATGCGGCCAGGAGCACAGCCCAGCAGCTTGGAGAGCAGCATCTGGCCAGTAAGTCCATGGGGGTAAAGGGGTTGGGGGGAGCAGATGGAGGCTCCCGTGGTGAGGGAGGGAGTGGAGCTATGGCAGGCACTGCGCAGCCAGGGTGGGGAACGAGACAGAGCCACGGCTCATCCAGGGGGAAGGAGGAGGGGGCCACTCCCACCGCTGCACACACCCCTGGGGGAGGCATGGGGCGGTGGTATGTGCTCTCCGGATCTGTGTGTGGAGTGAGGGCAGGCTGCCGCTGCGCACTCAGAGACAGGTCTGCACCGGCTTCTTCCCAATAGGGGGGCTGGACCCAGGCTGTGTGCAGGGCAGGTGGTGGTAGTGCTGGGAAGGGGGCATTACAGAGGGGGCTGCTGCCATCCCAAAATTCTCTGTAGCCCCCCCCCTCGCAGCCTCCCTTCCGAGTAACACTGCAGCCCGCCCTGCATGCAGCTCGCTAGGAAGAGTCTGGCGCAGCCCCAACCTTAAGAGCGCAGCAGCAGCCTGCCCTCGCCCTGCACACAGATCTGGGGGTCACGTGCCTCCTCTGGGGTTGCGCGTAGCAGCAGAAATTGCCTTCCTTCCCTGCTCCCCCCTCAAATGAGCCATGGCTCCATCCCGTGCCCTGCCCTACTCCAGCTGTGCAACACTAACCCCAGCCCCACTCCCACGCTCACTGCAGGGATATTGACCTGCCCCCCCATGCCTCTTCCCTCCCCCCACTCATTCCCCCCAACAGACCTACCAGCCTAATGCTGATCTCCAAGCTGCTAGGCTGCATATCGCCAATCAGATCGGCCATCAGTTGGCCATCAGTATCAGCCCAAAAACTCTTTATCGGTGCACACTTAGTAATGAACACTTCATCTACTTTCTACTAAGTAAATATTTGTTTTTTGTAAAGTAAATACAATATGATCAGCTCTGATAGGTCTGTCCTTTTCTTATTGCATAATTGCATAGTCCTGTCTTCATGCAGTTTTCAGTCTCCACCAACAGGTGCATATTCTATCCATTGTAATAAATATTAACCGCATTCTGTTAAGCCTTGTTAAAACTTTTCTATAAGATGTTCAATGCAATCAACTGCAGTTGGTCATATCTATTTTGTGCATCTGTAACAACTCTAGGTGTATCCAACTGCAAGCTTTTTAGATAGTAGTACCCCCACCACTGAACTATAGTATCTTGCATAAACTTTGGTAGGGTACTGTAGTTTGCTTATAATTCTGTTTTAAGAAAAATGGGGTTTTTTTGTCCATGATTTAAGGAAAAGAAGTTACATCGGTGGCTCATGAGCATTGTTCAGATATGACTAGCCACAAGCATTTTACATTCCACAGTTTTTAGGCTTGTGTTTTAGTGATCATGTTAGGGTAGATTAATTATTAGAGGAAGTGAAAAGCTTTTTACTTGAAATGAATAGTGTTGTCAGGAGTTAATTGTGGCTGGCGACAGAAGTTTTTTATCTTTCAGTCATTTAGCTATTCCCTCACCACTTCAGTCTATGGATAAACTTTCCTGAAGATCTCTTAAATGTAATTTATTTAATGGTTATGTGGTTAATGCAGTTTAAATAAAATTGCTTTCCGTTTTCCAAACCAACAAAAAAGGGCAATTCCAAATAAGTAGATGCTTATACATTCTGGTTTGCCAAAGTTCACAATAACTACAGATTATATACTTAATAGCAATTTCATGCAGTATGCTTAACTGTTCAGTTGGCTGAGAACTCCAGAGTTTGTCTTGAGACTAACCAGCCTTTATTCAAGATACTTCGGACTTTCCAGTCAAATGCAGCCAAATTAAGCAGAGACTCCTTGTGCCTGAAGAAGGGTGACTGCACCTGAAAGTTTGCCAAAAAATTTTCCCCACCTGCTCTGTTGGACAAATAAAAGATACCACATCTACTCAAAGAATCTTGCCCACCAAATTAATTTATGTGTAGTTTATATATACCCTCTTCTAAGTTTGGTGTATGAAGTATTGCTTAATGCAGGGGTGGTCAGTTGATGGCGTTCATGCCACAGGTGTCATGGACAGCTTGTGTGTGTGACATGTGGCGAACTAGGTAGGAGACAGGGAGCACAATGGCAGACAGGGCAAGTAAGCAGTAAACAGAGCAACGGTCAGACAGGAAGTACAGGGTAAGAAGCATAGCATCACATCAGGAGGTGAAGGGAATTTGAATGGCACTGGAGAAGGGTACGGGGCTAATTTGTGACACAGCTGCCAAAAAGGTTGGGTCCCACTGGATTAGTTATCTAAAGCTGTCAAACTGAAACAGAAGGTGCTATACACAACAATATCATTAGAGCATTCATTTTAAAAAGTTAAGGTTAAGCATTGGAAAGAATGTTGTCTACTATTTGAAAAACAAGCTCCAAACTACCTTAACCAAAGAGCTTGAGATCTAGAATTACTTCAAGGTACCAGCGCCATCCTTATTTCTTCCCCTGATACTGCTTAGAGAAGGGGTTGTCAAGCACTTGGGACCTGCAGAGCTGTGCCTTTGGGATACAGGGGCCCTCCATGCTCTGTGCTGTGCCACAGTCTGATGCCTGGGGCTCTGGTGGATTGGGAGTTCTGCCTATGTGGCACAGTACCATGGGCTTCAGCAGAGGGGGGGCTTTAGCTGTGCTGCAGCTGGGCAGCAACCAGATTATAATGCCCATCTGCCTGTAACCTGAACTGGTCGTTTGGCTCCTTGCCAGAAAATATTGCCACCTGTAGAGGCTATGGTCCCAGACCCCACAGAAACTGAAGATGTCTTCCCCCCCACCGCTTCAGAATATGGGACACAGGTTAGAACGTTCTATACAATATCTTCCATATGTAGTCCCCACAAAACCTTGTCCTTCTCCATACTTATGAACTTAATGTGCACCATATACACGTTACCCCATGTTTCAGTAGATCAGATCTTCTCTGTGTATAATGGCAATAAGTAGTTTAAATCCTCCCATGATGCGGTCTGAGAATTCCCTAAGATAGGCTTGTAGGGTGATGTACTATATTACCCTATAGTATTATAATTCTAGAGTATTATATTAGACTATATTTCTTTAATATGAATTAGTGACATCTTCGTCTTGGGCTGGGGGACTCTGCTAATGTTTTGTTTGAGTACTGTTTCAACAGTTTGTGGTACTAAGATTTTGAAAAACTGATAATGCATTACAAATTCTTACTGGCCTCTCTAAAATTATTGGAGTATGACTGTTGAATCAGCATTTTGAAATGGCTTTGAATTACTAATTTCTCTGCAGAGCCAAAACCACTCTATCCTTGATACTCAGCAATATTACACTGTAACTGGAAATACTTCTATATTTTCACCTGAAGGAAGATAGACGTGCAGTATAGACCCATAATTTGACCTACTTTAAAAATATTAAAGCCTTTTTTCAAGCACTAATACCATTTAAAAGAGTGGTATTTATACTCTTAATCCCAGCAAGTAATCATGACTGCCATTACTCCACTCTTTCTTCTGCTAGTAACATCTTGTAAAATATTGATGACCACATAATTCGGCCTTATTACATATTTCAGTTGGAAGGTAGTAGAAGTCCTTAAAGATGAGGTCAAGCGTGTTATCTATGAAGGGATAAGTCAAAGACTACTTTAAATCTCATACTGTTATTAGAATATATTTGTAGACAAATTGCAAGCCTGTTTGAAAAAAAACATGTAAAAGCCGTTCCTCTTTTACTTACCCAGATTTAGGATTCTTATTTGTTTTACTGTAGATGATTTCCTAGCTCTAGTGCAACATGATGTTTGTGGCTCCTTCCCAGCTTTTGATGGTTCCAACACTACCTACCACCTGTTAGAGAGAGGTCATTGGGTCACTAACAGCATAGAAAATACAGTATGTCAATGTAGCTGCTATAATTCAGATATCATTTCAACTCTTAAAATCAAAGCATCAAGCTGACTTTGATGTTCATGTAACTGATCATGCACATGCTCGCTCTGTCTTGCTCTCCACAATTTTCCTTTGACTGTTGATGAAATGCACAGTGGTATACATGGATATTCTGACAAACAGTATTCAAATCTGTGGATCACAAAAGGTTCATGCTGTCATAGTAATTGTCAGAATTATATTCATAGTCTGACTTTAATGCATTCTTGCAAGCTTAAACAAGTATACTGTAGAATGGATAAGGTGCGAACTACCATGTGGAAGTGAATTTTATGCTGACAGCAATACAGATTCCCATCCCTTAATAAGTTATACTTGTAGATAGAAGCACACTAAAAAGTGTGCACTTGAAGATTTCTTATTGGCTTTAGTTTATAGTGGAGAAAATGGTTATGAAATGGAAATGTGTGTATGTGAAGTTATTCTGCAATATTACTATATTCATACTGCCAATATTTAGTTTTTTTCCTTCAATTTGTTCAGTGGACTGTAGAAACAGTTGAGAGTAGGTTCATTTGGATATCTGTGAACTTTTGTTAGTAATTTTGGTTTGATGCAGTCTTCCATACTAATGGTAATGACTGTTTTCTTTCTCTCTCTTTTTAGACCTTGAAGTGTCTGCTTCCTCTTCCCTGAAATCACTAATTGGAATATTAAAAACTTAATTTGTGCATTATGGCTGACAAGTTAACAAGAATAGCTATTGTCAACCATGATAAATGTAAGCCAAAGAAATGCCGCCAGGAGTGCAAAAAGAGCTGTCCTGTGGTTCGAATGGGTAAGAAATACATTGAAGCATTTTAAAATATTGGAGAGAGATAAATAACGTGTGTGTTTCCCTTATGTTTCCCTTAGAAATTACTATTAGAGAATGGCTCTCTCTTCATAAATTAGGGAATTGAGAGAGGCCAAGTATCATTTAAAATGCAAATTGTGTTTAGTAATCATGCTAAGAAATATCAATTGCTGCAAGATATCTGTACAGTTTTCAGTGATAATGCCATCACCAGGAAACCTGATTTATCTACATTGAGTCTTGTATTAACATGGTTTATTTAGTTTCTTTCCTTTTTTTTTTTTTTTTTTAACAGGGAAATTATGAATAGAAGTCAAAGCACAGAGAAAAATACAATGGTTTTCTGAAACCTTTTGTT